CAGTGGCGCGTCGGCGCTCAAGCGCCAGCGCAAGACGGCGGCCCAGCGCTCGGTCGAGCTCAAGGAGCGCGACCTGCGCGTCCTGATCCGCGGCATCCAGCGCTGGGGCGACATCCGCTACCGCGGCGACCCCATCATCCGCGAGGGCAAGCTGCACGACAAGAACCGCCAGGTGCTCATCCAGATCTCCGACGAGCTGGTGCGCCTGTGCGAGGAGGCCGTCGCTGAGCACGCCGCCTTCATGAAGGGCAAGCAAGAGCGCGGCGAAGAGATCTCGTCGGCGCTCCGTCAGAAGGCGGTGCTCGTCACGTGCCGTGGCATCACGGGCATCAACGCCGACACGGTGCTGGTGCGCCACTACGACCTCCGCCTGCTCGCCGAGACGCTCGACAATGTCGCCGACCCGCTCCAGTGGCGCATGCCCGTCGAGCACCTCAAGGCCACGCTCAACTGGGCCGGCGGATGGAGCAACGTCGACGATGCCATGCTCCTCGTCGGCATCTGGAAGTATGGCTTCGGCGCCTGGGAGCAGATCGAGGCCGACGAGGACTTTGACCTCAAGGGCAAGTTTTTCCTCGAGGAGGGCAAGAAGGCCGGCCAAGACTCGCACGCCGCCGACAAGGATGCGCCGCCCAGCGGCACCTCTGGGCCGCCGCAGGGCAAGGCGCGGCCGATCCCCAACGCCATCCACCTCGTGAGGCGCGGCGACTACCTGCTCAAGGTCCTGCGCGAGCACGACAACAGCATCAAGGGCATCGGCGAGGGAGCACAACCGCAGGCTGTCAAGCACAGCATCGGCGGCGGCGGCGGCGGCGGCGGCGGCGGCGGCGGATCGTCACGCAAAAAGGTCCGCCGCAGTGCCTCTCCCAGCAACGCTTCGCCAACGCCCGCCGGTGGCAAGGGGCCCGGGCGCTCGTCGGCGGCGGCGGCCAAGGCTGGCGGCAACCGGCCCACGCCCGTCTACTCGTCCGACTCGTCCGACGAGGCCCACTCGAGCATGGACGAGGCCGAGTGCAAGGAGCTGATGCGGCCGTGCAAGCGGCAGCTCAAGCGCCTGCGCGACGGCACCGACCACCTCGACCGCGACCAGAAGGTGGCCACGCTCAAGGAGTGCCTCTCGGCCATCGGCGGCCACATTGACGCACTGCTCGAGGGCAAGTTTGCCGCACTGCCGGCAAAGGAGCGCGAAAAGTGGTTCAACCACCTCTGGGCGTTTTCCGCCTTTTTCTGGCCCAAGAAGGTCAAGCCGTCGAAGCTGCGCGCCATCTTCGACAAGCTCGTCGGCAACGGCGGCAACGGCGGCGGCGGTGGAAGCGCCCCACCGGCAGCGACTGCGGCGGCAGCAACGACACCGGCCACGCCAGCGGCTGCAGCTCCCACGGCCGCCTCCGCGACCCCCGCGGCCGAAGGCGCCACGGCAGCAGGTGCGGCGACCTCGGCAGCGACGCCCAGCACGCCGGCCGCCGCCGCGAGCACCGCCAACACGACCACCACCGCCGACGCCCGTGCTGCCACGCCCTCGTCCACCACGGGCGCCAACGGCCACGCCTCGGAGAGCATCAAGCGCAAGGCGTCCGGCAGCGGCGGTACCCCGCTCCCCGACGGTCCGATCCCAAAGAAGGCTCGCACCTCGGACGCCCATCCGCCCCACGCCCAGCGACCGGGCGGGGCGCCCTACTCTCCCAGCCCGAGCGCCGCCTCGACCGGCCTGCCCCACGCCAGCGGCTATGCCCCTGCCGGCTCGGCAGCCGCAGCGAGCGATCGCGGAGGCTCGTTCCCCCCGCCACCCGCGCCTGCGTCCGGCTATGGACACGGACACGGCCGCGAACCTTTCCCGCTGCCTCCGCCGCCGCCGCCGCCAGCTCACCCGCATCCCGCTGACAGGAGGGAGAGCGGTGGCTACCGCGACCACAGCAGGGACCACCCGCGCGACCGGGACCGCGAGCGCGATCGGGATCGCGACCGTGATCGCGACCCGAGGGATCGAGAGCGCGACCGTGACCGCGACCGCGAGCGTGAGCGGGGATGGGACATGCGGGATCGCGAGCGCGACCGCGAGAGGGAACGGTACGGCGCGCCGTCGAGCTACCCACCGCCCCCGATGCCGAGCAACGGCGGCAGCCCGTACGGCCACCACTCGCACGCGCATGGCTATCATGCCTCGCACGGCGGCCATGGCCATGGCTACGGCGCCGGTGGAGGCGGCCACAGCTACGACTACCGAAGGTAGCCGTCGGATGCAGCTCGGCGCCGTCGTCTCGCAGCGGGCCGTCGGGCCTTTCACCATGCCGGCGCGACCGCCTAGCTCGGGAACAGGGCTCCTTGCTCGATCGACGTCGACGGCCCGCCCGCCGGTCCGCCTGGCTCGACTCGTTCCCGTTCGGTTCGGTTCGGTTCGGTCCCGATCGTTTCCATCATCATCAGCAGCAGCAGCAGCAGTAGCAGTCGTCAAAAAAGGCGCGAGGGGGATACGGCGACGACGAGAGCGAAAAAGGCTCAGCAGCATGCGCTCGATCCCCACTGGCATCTCCGCCGCCGCCGCCGCCGCCGTCGTGGTGGGGGCATCTTGTCTCCTCACCTTGCCGTCCGTCGATGCCCGACTAGCAGGCGCGCCGCCGTCCCAGAGCCAAAGCAAAAAGCAAAAGGGAACACACGGGAGGTGCTTGGTCATCGGTCCGTTGCCGTCCGTCCTCTGTCGTCGCCGTGGTCATCACCATCACCGTCTCGCTGCAGTCGAGCCTCGTACCCCCTCATCGTGATCGTCATCGCTCATCATCGTCGTGGCCCCAATCTCGTGTCTGTCTTCCATTCCCCCATCTCGGACCGTCATGGTCACCATCGTCGCGCTATCCCGCGTTGTCTGTCTGCACCTGATCTCCTCTCTCCCGCCCGACCTCGCCTCATGCGCAATGAATCCCACACAACAATTGGCCCTGGCCCTCTCTTTCCCGCTCGCCCCCCGTAGCGCTCGTCTGGTCTCGTCAGTGCTCGGCTCGCCTTGTCGGATGGTGCATGGCAAATCGGCGAAAAGGAGCGGCCGTGTCGTCTTCGTGGCCTTGTCGAAGCGGAGGGGAGCCTGGCGGGCTGCGGTGCTCGTCTGGCTGCAAGGAACGATGGCCTCGCAGCCTGTCTCAATCATCTTCGAGTTCGTCCTGCTCATCGTCCTGCGAGCGCCCGCGTCCTTGGCCATCGTCGCCGCTCGACAGCTCATCATCGGCATCGCTGTCCTCTTCCTTCTTGATGACGACGGCGGCGGCTTCTTCCGCCATCGTTGTTGCAGCAGCCCCAGACGCAGCCGTCGTAGCATCGACGCCGACGCCGTCGCCGTCGGCGGGCGCGAGCGCGGCATTGGACAGCACGCCTGGCCGGTACCTGGGACGGGTGGGCACCAATGGCGGCGGACTGCCGTCACTGTTCGATGTCGACGCGACCGTCTCGGTCTGGAACGGCTTCCGGGGCGGGGCGAACAGCGCCGGCGGCACTTTGACGCGTCCGCTGTCCGACGAGGAGCTGGTCTCCCTGCTCGACTCTTCAGCCTTTTGCGCTGCTTCCGCTCGACCCGGCTGCAGAGACGTTCTACCCACATCGCTTGGTCCGCGACTCGCCAGTTCGTCTCCCTCCTCGACTTTGACGGGCTTTGGCGGCTTCGTTGCGAGGACGACGCGGACGAGCTCAAAGTCGGGCGACTGCGACTCGCGCCTACGGTCGTCTGCAGCTTGGACAATCTCGCCATCCTCGACGTCGGAACCGACGTGGGCAACGTCCTCGGGACGTCCCTCGTGCCCCTGTCCTTGCGAGCCGGCCGTTGAGAAGTCGTAGCAAGCGGGGAGGCGATATCGCTCCTCTGGGTCGTGCTGAGGCGCTTGCTCGGTCTCCCTCTCGAGCTGCCCTGATGTCTGCTTTTGGTGCGGCTGATCTTTCTGCGGCAGCTCTACGGGTGACTGCTCGGTCGGCTGCTGCCGAGTCTGCTTTTGTTGCTTTGCCTGGCTCTGTTCCGACGGCCGGACCTGTCGCTGTGCCTCTTGTTCCAGTTGCGTGTGTATCTGTAGTGGCTGTTGCGCCTTGTCCGGCTGCTGAGTCTTGTCGGGGTGCTGTACCCTGGCCGGCTGCTGTCCCTTGTCAAGAATCTGCTTCTTCTGAGCTTGCTTGGCCTGCTCCGTCTGTTGAGTCTGCTCCGGCAACTTGGGCTCTTTGGCCTGTTCGGGCTGACTGGCCTTCTTGGCCTGCTCCGTGACCTTTCTGGCTTGCTCCGGTCGCAGCGTCTGGCCCAATTGCCCCCGCTGCTGCTGCGGCGGCGCCACGCCCAAGCGAGGCGGCAGTTGCGACATCGGCACTTCTCTGACGGTCGGGGAGGCAGCGGCAGCACGGTGTTTGAAGCGGTCCATCTTGAGACGCGGGTCTTCGGTTCTTGGTGGCACTTCGCCTGGTCGCTTGGGCGAGACCGAGCGTGCAGGTGCTCGTGCGTCCGTGCTGTCCGGCTCCATCTTGCCGTTCGAATTCTCAAAGGTGGCGGACAGGGCCTTGAGCTCGCCGAGCAGCCTGTCGATCCGCTGCTTCCATGTGTGACCATGTCGCGTCCAACGTTAGCCGAAGTGCTTGGAATAGTGCGGGGATGAAGGGAGTGCTGGGAGAGGTGGGAGACGGAGGAGTGGGCTAAGGGCTGGACTCACCTCTGCATCCTCGGGGGACACACCCGCGCTGGGGTCACCAGTTGCTGTAGCTGCGCGATCGCGGTCGCTAGGGCGTTCGTGCACTCGCTCTCGCTCTCCTGCTCGCTCTGGCTCTCCCCCTGCCTCTGGCTGCGGCTCGAGCTCTCGCTCTCGCACCTCGATCTGGCCGGACCGAGTCTCTTTCCCACCATTTTCGTTGGGCGACTGCCCGTTGGTCGTGCTCGATGAGATGGGGCGCCAGTTTCTCGTGGTATAACCGGTCCTCGACGTCTTGTTCGGCGGGGGTAGCTCGTCCTTTTCAGCGACAGCGCGTCCCTCGCTGCGGCTGGCTGTCGGCGCAGACCTCTTGAGCAGCCTCGTAGGGCTGTCCTCCGCCAGTCTCTCGCGTCTCTCTTCTCCTCGGCCGTTGGCAGCTGTGCCGCGGGGCTTTCGCCAGAACTCGTCTCGCCGGACAAAGAACTGGCGGCCGTGGAATTTTTCCGCCGCGGGACGAAAGTTCGGCCCGGCAGCAAGGAAGGATTGCGACTGCGTCAGTCTCTCGTTCCACCTCTGCTTCACCGACGCGCGATAACAGCGAATTTCAACGCATACGCGTGGTCCTGCCTCGCATCGCCTGCTCGCTCGCGCTCACCTTTTTATCTGATGCGACGGGAATGAGGCGATGGACGCCGCCCGGTCGAAAGATGTGGGCAGGCGTACCGGTGCGCGTGTAGTCGTTGAGTTCGAGGCCGTGGGGGAGATTTCGATGGACGTAGCTCTCTGCCCTGCGGCTGCCCTCGAGGACCTCCCACTGCACGGATGCGTAGGGCGTGGCGATGCCGTTTTCGTCGTTGATCGTCATCGGGTAGAGGGCGAGCTCGATCTGCCTCACGTTGGCTGAGAGGGCCGAGGCGGCCGAGGCGAAGCAAGCGGAGAGAAGGGAGTAGGTGAGCCCATGTCTGGTTATGAGTAGCAAAGAGCGGGGCAGCGGCGTTTGCGCGGCCGAGGTAGCATCCAAGGTCCGCTCTTTCGCGCAGCACCCGCCCCCGATGCTCACCTGGCTTCCAGAGCGGATGGCGGTATCTATTGAAGCATTTGACGTTTCCGCCGAGCAGCCATCCGGCCTTCCATACGAGGGGCCTGGCGTGGGGCACGTCGTCCCAGTTTGTGCGGATCTCGATGCGGAAGCCGATCCAGTCGTGTCCGCCGCCCGCGGGTGCGAGGGAGCGGCCGTTTGTGTCGTCGGGGAACGAGAAGCAGACGTCAAAGTGGGTGTGGCGAGGCAGCTTGATGCGGCAGGCGGCCTGGGTGGGGTGGTCGGTGGTGGCGTCTCGACGGAGTGCGACGTCGCGCTCGATGCACGAGTACTCGGGGTCGAGGTGGGTATTGGTGCCGCAGCCCTCGGGCGTGATCCAGGCGACGCACTGCTTGATCTCGGGCATGTCCGTGTCGAATAAGCTGAGCGCGGGCGAGAGATCCGGTTGACTGGATGGAGGTGGGAGAGAGAAGGAGAGAGGAGGGGAGAGATAGACTGTCTTGGCCCTTTTTGGGGTGGCAGCTGAGCCAGGCCTGGGCGGGGCCAGCGGCGACGAGGAGCAGACGGGACGCGCCGCCTGGCGCCCTCCTGTGGCCTGCCTCGTTTGCGCGGCAGCGCCTTTGAGGTGGCGCGGCTGCCTGGCTGTCCACCTGCGCCCGCCCCTGCGACTCTCGAGTTATAGAGGCGGGCGGTCGGGCGAGAGGTCAGGCAGGCAGGCAGGCGGGCAGGTAAGGCAAGGCTGGGGGGGCAGCCAGGCCAAGCTGAAAAGCGGTCCGAGCGGAAACGCGCCGACAGCCTGGCCAATCAGCCAGCCAGCCAAACTCAAGCTCAAGCAAACCCACACACAGGCGGGGCGTAGGCCGGCCCACGACCATGCCAGCTGCTGGGCCGTCGTACTTTCTTGCCTTGGCCCGCAGCGACACTTACGCGGCTGCTGCCCAGCCTAGCCTGGCCTATCCTGCACGCGTCCACCAACCTCGGTCCTCGCGCCTGCAACCTTCTCGCCTTCTTCCGCCAAGGTGGCGCGCGATCCGTCAGGCGTCAAGCACGCAAGCGCCAGTGCAAGCAAGCAAGCAAGCAAGCTGGCTGGGGCCCATTTGAACGGCGGCAACCTATCCCGTATACGGCCGTGCGTGTGCCCACGACAGCGGTCCGAGCGCGCCACAGTAGTCAGGTGTGTCTGGGTCCGGCCGCCGTCGCGCTGGTGGACAGGGGCAAGCCCGCACCAACGACAAAGGCACAGGGCAAGCAGCGGGTACTTGACGCCATCCTGCCATCCTGCCATCCTCCCTCTCCCTCTTCCTGGCTCGACACACACACTCACGCCCAATCCACCGCACCACCCAGGCTAGCCGTCACCACGGCCGCCGCCGCCACGTCCATGCCGACACTCGAAGGCAAAAAGGCCGCGTGGTTCTCGAGCGCAGCGTGCCGCGAGCACCGCGAGCGCATCCTCGACGACGTCTACGACGTCGACCACGGCCTCGTCACCCGCCTCGACATCGCCGGCGTCCGCGGCCAGCGCGCCGTGCTGCACCTCAGCCCGCACGTCTTCCCCAACGGCGCAGACATCCTCGTCGCCACCGACGACGACGCCGACTTTGCCTCGGCCTTTCGCACAAAGGAGCACCCCGCCGACCCACGCTGCCAGCACCGCCAGACGTGGGCCGTGACGACGCGCGAGTGCAAGTTTGGCGCGGCAGACCACGTCTTTGTCTTTGTCGAGGCGCTCCCCGGCACCACTGACGAGGTCGTCTCGGTGACCAAGTGGATGATCGTCGCCCGACTAGTTGCCCTCGACAAGGAGATCTGGGCCGAGATCGGAGAGGACTTTGAGGTGCCCGCGGCCGACATGACGACCAAGCTGCAGCTGCCACCAGAGATGCAGAGGGGCTACGCCGCTCGACCCCCCTTCAGCAGTCTCGCGCGTCCGATCCAGACGTTCGGCGAACCTTGGACCGTGAGTGCCCGCGGCCAAAGTCACGGGGCCGACGGCGTGTGTCCGTATTCGATCCCGGGTTGCTGACGCCGTCTTCTTCTCTTCTCTCCGCGATTGGCAGCGCCCATCCGACGAGCTAGAGCAGGTGTGCGAGCGGTTGCGGATGCTAGGCATCGCGCCGGTCAATCTGCCGCCAATCGACGAACCCATGGACGAGCCCATGGACGGGCAACCGATTGCCCCGCGCGCCCCAGCCCAGGTCAAACGCAGAAGGGCTGGCGCCGCGTCGCTGCACGTCCGCGACGGGAGCCGCCAAGGTCAGCTGCTCAAGAGGCGGCAAAGACCCAAGCCGAGCGCAAAGGCCAAGGTCAAGGACAAAGCGAGCAAGTTGACGAGCGGTCGCGGACGAGAGGCTAAGGGCGCCCGCGGCGACCGAGATGACGATGACAGCGGCGTCGACGAGGACAACGGCATGAGCATCGATGGCAACCGACAGGAAGCCCCGACAGCCTCGAGGGGGCGCGAGATCGAGGTACAGGAAGAAGAGTACCCTACCGATGATGACGACGATGATGAATGGCTAGAGGAGGTGCAGATCCCAGAGCACCGCAACCCAGTCCTCGAGCATTACTTGGAGGTGAGTCCTCAGCCTCGTCGACTCCGTCGTCGCGCCTTTCCATCTGGTCCTGTCTCCTGACCCGCGCGCATATCTGTGCCATCGCCCCATCCCTCGATTGGCTGACAGATGAACCGCCGCCTGAGCCCGCGCCTGCTGGCCAAGAGCGCAAAGGGGCGGAGGGTACTCGTCGAGATCTCCCTGACTCGGCTCGGTGACGTGCCGTCGCCCAGGCCGCTGCCGAGGGAGGACGAGCTGGCGTGGTACGGACTCCGCCGCCTGCTCGGCTTCACGTCGGACCGGGTGCTGCTGCACTCGTACAGAACCAAGCCGCTGCTCAAGGAGGCGCAGGACCAGAACAAGCGCGTGAAGGGCGAAAAGGCGAGGCTCAGCCCCGTCGCCTCGTCTCGTCGTAGGCGCTTTGTCATCGACGACGACGACGACGACGACGACGACGACGATGGAGAGGATGATGAGGACGAGGACGAGGACGAGGATGGGGGTGCCCTCGCGCGGGCCGGGTACATACGCAGGGCTCGGGAGAGCGTGGTCCTCATCAATCCAGGTCGATACCCGCTCGAGGACATCGCCAAGGCGCTGCGCGACATCGAGAGGGAGCGCACCCCGATCGAGGCGACGGTGTCCATCGGCAGGTCCACAAGGGCCAACGTCGTCGCTCCCGCTCCCTCCGATCCGCCGGCTGCACCGAGGCGGAGGGAGAGGCTGGTTAGGGGTGGCATGTGAGGCGCGTTGCAGCGCGTGTAGAGTAGGCAAGAAAGACGACGCCGCAAGGGACGTTCGAACATGGGTGCTGCTTCACAGATGATGACGATGACGATGATGATGATGATGACGAGCTTTCGCTTGCCCGACGGGCCTAGCTGGCTGCAGCGGTGGTCGGCTAGGACGAGGGGACCGTAGAAAGACGACTGCGCACCCGCTCCCGCTCCCTCTCTCTCGGTCGATCCGATAATCCACTTATCCTCCTTGCTGCCGCCGCCGAGCCAGTCGATCCGGCCGGGCCGCTGTGAAGCGTCGTCGTCGAAGAAGAAGAAGAAGGAGCAGCGGTGGTGGTGGTGGTGGTCGAGGCGATGCCGCTGCCGCTGCCGCTGCCGCTGGGCGGCTTGAGCGGTGCGACAGTGATGCCCGCCAACAGGCTCGATCGCGGTCGACGCAGGGCGGCAGTGGCAGGCTGCGATGCGGTCGTCCCGTGCGCGTGCGCGTGTCGCAATGGCCCGCTGGCGAGGGTGTGCGTATGGGCGGTTCGTCGTGCCTCTGTCGGCTTGAGAGGCCCACCGCCCGCACTCTGCAACGTCGTCGATTGATGCTGGTTGACCAGGTCGGATGCGAGCGGGTTCGACGCCGTCGTCGCCGCCATCATCGACGGAATCGACGACGAAGAGACGACGTGCGACAGCCGCCGTGTGCGCGTGGCGGCAGATGGTTGCAGTGCGTTGGAAGTCGGTCGTGGCGCGGTGCGAACATTTTCCTTGTCCGTTGCGCTTGCAGAGGAGGTTGCCACATTCGATGAGATTGCCGCAGGACGGGCCGGGGGCAGAGCTTGCCCTGATGCCGCGGTCCTTGCTGCCCTCGCTGCAGTAGCTGGAGACGGAGGTGCGGGCGCCGGCCGCACGGCCACGGGTGGAGCCTCTATCCGGCTCAAGGATGTCATCGATGCGTCTTCTTCGATGATGGACGATGCCGACGGCAGCGAAGGGATCATGGCTGCCGACGTCGCAGCTATGCCGTCGCCCTCGGCTGCCGCCGCTGCAGCCGCTGCTGCACCCTCGCCCGCAGCCTGCACCGCAGCGGCCCGGGTGGCCTTCATCAGCAGGCTCAGCTTGGCCGGCTGGTGGGCAGCGCCAGCGGCCCCCGTCCCCGTTGTCGGCCGCGTCAGCACCTTTTCCGGCAGCCGGCTGATGCGTTTGATAAAGGGTGACGGACGATCTTCTTCGTCATACTGCATCCAGTTGGGATCTTCAGGCAGGGTGAGGGTGGTGGCGACGGTGGCGCGCCGCCTCGGGCTGGCGTGCGCTGGCGCCGACGATGTCGATGTCGATGTCGACGACGAAGATGACGAGGCCGAGGACGAGGGCGCGGCGGTGGTCGCCGACCTCTGCGTGGGCAGTGCAGCGGCCGCGGATGCCGAGGCCGATGCGGATGCTGTCGAGCGGGCGGCGATGGCGTCAAGCATTCGCTGCTCCTCTCTTGCGGCGTGAAGTTCCGCCTCGGCTGCGTCGCTTGCCTCTCTCCTGGACAGTCGAGGGCGGGAGGCGCGGGGCCGGAGCGGCCCGTGATGGCGATCGAGACCGTCATCGATGCCGGCGTCGATGGATCCTTGGCCTTGCCGGTCCGCGTCCGCGGCCGCGTCCTCGTCGACGAGCTCGGTGGCGATGGTCTGCCGTCTCGAGGCGCGAGCTCGGCTCTGGCGCTGCTGATGGGCTGCGGATGATGGCTCCAGCGACGTTGCCGGGGCAGTGGCGGCGGCTGCCGACGATGAAGGGGCCTTGGTTGGTGACTGCCATTTATCGTCACGGCCTTCCTGATCGATCCACTCGTCGCTACCTTGGCTTTGGCTGTTGACCCTTGCCCTTGACGATGTCCTTTGCCGAGGTGATGATGCCGCTGCCGTCTCGTAGCTCCGGCCCTGGCTCCGGCTCTGGCCCTGCTCCTGGTCGTCTGCCTGCAGCGACTCTCGCTCCGGCTCCTGAACAACGACCACCTGCTGGTGCGCCGTGCGAGGCGTGCCGAGGCCCGTGGCGCCGGCAGCCAGCCTCTCGCGGATGCTGAGCATGCTGACGTCTCCGTCGAGCGAGAGACGCGCCTTGCCGCCGGATGCCGTCCGTCTCGCGGTCGGGCGGGCGGGGTTGCGAGCGGCCGAAGCGGCAACCGGAGGCCTCGTCCCGACCGACGAGAGGTTGCCCGTGAGGCTGTCGGCGCGAGGCAGTGCTGCCGCCTTGCGCCCCATGGGCAGCTCGGAATGCCGTGCCTGACGCCGTAAGGAGGGAGCTGCTGCTGTTGCCGTCGCCATCGAAGCGCCCTCGTGGCCATCACTTGCTGCCATCCGTCGCAGCTGCGCCTCGAGCTTGGCCACCCGGCTCGCCAGGGCCTGGTTGTCCTCGAGCGCCTTGCCCTTTTCTCCTGCATACCACTTGTCCCACTCGTCGGAGCACATCTGGCGCTGGGCGTCGACGCTGCGCTCCTTGCGCGAGACGACCTCCTCGGCCTGGCGGACGTGCAGCTCACGTTCCTCGAGCTCGGCTAGCCGAGCCTCGTAGTCGGCCATCCTCGATTGCAGGTCACGCTGGAGCGGCGAGGCGAGCCCCTGCCTCTGGGCCGCGGCGAGCGCCTCTTCGCGCTCGAGGAGCTCGTCTTCGCGCGCCTCAACCTCCTTCCAGCGCGCCTCGAGCGTCTTGATCTGGTCGTCGAGGTAGAGGACCTTGCAGGCGGTGCGGACGTTGGCGACGCTAAGCAGGCGGCGCGTTGTGGGGCGGCGCTTGGGGGTCCTGGGTGAGGAGAGCGGCAACGACATCGTCGAGATCCTCGCTGTAGCCGTGGCGGGTGACGCTGGGGACGCGGCCGCTGCGGATCTTGAGGTTGAGCTCGCGAACGTTGGCGGCGTCAAAGGGCGGGGAAAAGGTGCACAGCTCGTAGATCATGCAGCCGAGCGCCCAGATGTCGGAGCTGGCGTCGTAGCACCGGCCGTCGATGACCTCGGGGCTCATGTAGTAGGGCGTGCCGACAAAGGTCTGGGCGAAGCCCGAAGCGGGCGTCTGCTTGCTGAGTCCAAAGTCGCCGAGCTTGAGGCGCCCGTCGCCGTCGAGAAAGACGTTTTCGGGCTTGAGGTCGCGGTGGAGGATGGCGCGGGCGTGGTTGTGGTCAACGACGACGGAGCCCCACTCGCTGGTGGTGTCGGTGGCGACCGAGGCCACGGTGAAGTCGCCGTGGTAGTGGCAAGCGTCGAGGGCGACGACGAGCTGGGCGACATAGGACCAGATGGTCTCCTCGGGGATGCGCGTGTTGGAGCGCTTGTGGCGGTTGATGACCTTGAGCAGGTCCCCGCCGGAGCAGTATTCCATGACAATGTACAGGATGCTGGGCGCGGTGGAAGCGGTTCGGGATTTAGAGAGGGGCAGAGAGAAAGAGGCGCGGCCGTCTGTGGATCAGCAACGGCGAGGGAGGGGAGCAGAGGCGAGCCAATGCGGGCCAGCACTCACCCATTTTCGGTGTCGACGCTGCGCTCCTCGTACTGGACAATGTTTTCGTGCTTGAGCTGGCGGAGGATGTTTACCTCTGCGACGATCTGCTTCTTGTCGTTGTCGCTCATGCGCTCGAACTTGAGCTCCTTGCGGGCAAAGAGGCGGCCGTCGATCTTGCGGCGGACCTGTCGGATGATGCCAAAGGATCCGTTGCCGATGACGTCGAGGGCGTCGTAGGCGTCTGGACCGGCCGCGGCCACGGAGGCGGCAAGCGGATCGCGGGCAGCCATTGCGGTAGTGCGTGTGCTGCGCTGCGGGCGTGGCGTGCCGGGGAGCTGCGGACGGTGAGTCGTGTGGCGGCAGGGTCAGTGGACGGCTGTATGGGTGGACGAGGAGAGGCAGAGGGATTGATGCAGGCAGTCTAGACGGAGGCGCTGGTGACGGGGGCCGAGGCGAGGATGGCCGAGAGCATAGCGGGGGTCATGCAGAGGGTGGTGAGGGATGGCGTCTAGGAGGCGAGGCGGAGCGATTCGAGACGCAGCGCAGCGACGAGGGCCGAGGGTCGAGACGAGGAGCGAGATTGAGCAGAGGGATGGCGAGATGGTCTGGCGCTTGAGGATGGCGATGGCGATGGCGATGGCGATGGCGATGGCGATGGCGATGGCGATGGCGATGGCGATGGCGGTTGGATGGAGGTCGAGGGACGGGTGGAAGGAGTGTGGGCGGGCGTCGTTGCAGGAAGGCAGGCGGCCGTCTTTGGTCCATCGAGCATCCATGCCTGCTTGCCTGCCTGTCCAAACAGGCCAGGCCGGCCAACTCCACTTTGGCAGGTGCAGCCCTTTGCCGGCTTCTGAGCAACACATCAACACCAGGCTATAGGGCCTCTGGCGCGCTCGCCCGCCTCAATCCCCTCGGAGCCGACAACTTTTTCGCGACGGGCCCACGTGAAGCCAGCCAGCGACACCCGCGGAGCCGAGTCCCGCTGTTGACGGGCAGCGCAGCGTGCCCCGGCCTGGCAGGCTGCCTGCCTGCCCCTCTACTCGCTGGCCCGGCTTGGCCTCCACACTGCTCCCTGCCCCCGGCAGCCGCCCCGCTCTGCCCGCCGGCCTGACTGGCCTAGCCTGACAACGCCCCGCGGCTTGGGCGCCGTGCTCCGTTGCTGGCCTGCCTCTCGGACCTCGCCATGTCGTCGAGCCGTGGCATGTCGGAGGTAGGGTGAGGGGGCTCGACTTGGTATCGCTTTGTTGACAGATCGAGGGGCTTGGGACAGGCAGCCTAGCAAAGCTCAGGGGGCCGACGGGCGGCCCACGACGAGGGGCGTCGAGGAAGGGCCGGGCCCCCTGCATCCCCATCCGCCTTGGGCCCACCGACCATCCGACTGACCGACGACATCCCCCTTTGTTGACCTCTGCAAGGCGAGGCTAAGAGGGCGGGAGAAGAGGCTAGGATCTGAATGCATCGTTCGGGACTCGACCCTCTTACGGAAGCCCCTCCGATGGAGGCATGGAGGCATCCATGGTGGTGGACCCGCCGACGGTCGAGCAAGCAAGCCAGGGAGAAGGGGTCGGTGTTGGTCTCGGTGGCCAGCCCCCGGAGCCAGCAAGCCAGCCAGCCAGCCAGCCAGCCAGCCGCGCGGGCCACGGCAGCGCAGCTCACCGACCCCCCAAAATCCAAAAGCGCTAGGCGGCGGGCACAGCGGGCGGGCCGCCCGAGCCAGCCAGCAGCCAGGCAGGCAGGCAGGCAGGCAGGCAGGCAGACCAACACCGCCGGCCAAACCGGCCAGCTGGTGTGCGAGGCCTGGCCAGTCGCCTGCCATGGCGCCACTTCCCGGGCCTCGTCAGAGTAGTAGTGTGTTGGTCGCTCACCTGGCTCATCTCTCGCCCCTAAGTCTCATCTTCGTCTCGTCCATCACCTCGACGCACCACTCTGATGGCATCGTGACGCTTCCCCTCGCGATACCACGACTGCCTCGAGCTTGGCCCCGTTCACGACGTACGACCTTCTGATACGACACCCGCAATCCGCCAAGGACCATCACGCCACCACTCTCCCGCCCCTCGCTCTCCGGGGCCATCGCAACCGCTCCTTTCGTTTGTGTGACGACGCTCGACGACCCAGACCCATCGGAACCTGCCCCAGACCATCGAGGTCGCCCCCTTTCTCTTTCTCCGACACATCACACCGGGACGGGCCGCGCGACCAGCTCACGGGAGCCTGCCTGGACCGCTTCGGCACAACCGGTAACGAGCGGCCGACCGACCGATCTTTCGAGCACCGCCCCATTACGCGCGACTCCACTCGCACGACGAGTGAGGCATAGATAGCCCACGCCCGGCCATCCGGCCACCACCAGGTCACAGCCACCCCTCCTCCCGCCGTTGCCGTCGCCGTCGCCGTGGCCTCCGCAGCCGCAGCCGCCGTCTCGCCATGACGACCGAAGAGCTGCGTCCCGTCATTCCGCGCACCGAGTCGCACCAGAGCCTCGCAAACAACCCCGCCACCTCGCGACCTCCTCCGCCCCGAAACCGCAACCGCGCCTCGCAGCTCCGCAACGCCAGTAACGGGCCCCGCTCCGGCTCCAGCTCCAACCTCTCTGGCCCCGCATCTCCAGCAGCAACCTCGCCAGACAAGGACGTCTACCAGGACGACCCGGACCAAGCCGCCCACGCCCATGACGGCGACGATCGCGACGACGACGGCAACGGCGTCAAAGGCGGCAGGTACGGCGCCCTGGGCCTCGCCCACGACCATGCCGCCGTGCCCTCTGCCATCCGCACATCGTCGTCCGGCTCGGCGAGGAGCTACAACTCCAGGCTCGATGCCGGCTACGACGCGGACGAAATCCCCAGGGACGAGATCGAGCATGCTCTCCGCGGCCTCTCGAGGGACGACCTGGTCGTGGCCCTCGGACGTGCAAAAGTGCAGATGGACGAGGTGAGTGGCGTCGCCGCCGTGGAACGTCGAATCCCGAGGCCACCTCGCTGAACCCGCTCGTCTTTCCGTCCCGCAGATCGATGCCAAGCTCGACGCCCAGATCCTGGCCAGCGAGGAGCTCCAGGCCTCGTCCAACTCGCTCCTCTCGCAGCTCAACCTGGCCGAGGCCGAAAACGACTCGCTCAACGCCGTCATCCGCCAGCGCGAGGAGCGCATCGACGACCTCATGGCCGACCAGGACCGCATGGAGAGCGAGCTCTACTCGCGCCTCCAGGTCATCGAGAGCCTCCGCAAGCAACTCAACGAGAGCGAAAAGCGGCGCAACGACGCCGAGAGGCGCTACGGAGACCAGGTGGGTGGCCCTCGACCGCGCTCGCGCCCGCACCCGTTGCCGTGCCCGCTCAGCGCCCCAGTGCCGCATCTGACCTGTGCCCCATTGTCGTTCTACTCTCTCCTCGCCTGTCTGTCTCTGCTGGTCTGCCCCTCCTGCCTACGACCGCTCAGACCTCGACCATGGACAAGGAGCGACAGTACTACGCCGACACCGAGCAGCTTCTCAAGTCGCAGAAGGCCACCCAGGCGGCGTCGTACGAGAAGCTGCTCAGCCAGAACCACGAGCTCCACAAGGAACACGAGCGGCTCTCGGCCAAACTAGCGCAGCTGCGGGCCCAAGGCGCGTTCGGCGGCCAGGGCGACGAGTCCGACGGCGACGGCGCCGAAGACGGCGACGGCGACGGAAAGGGCGGCGGCGATGATGGCCAGGCCGACGATGTGGACGGCAGCGAAGACGGTGCGGACGGCGCGCAGCCACGGCGGCCACGGGTGGCGGGCCGCAGCGTGTCGGGCTCCAAGCGCCACGCCGCCCGCACGCTGGCCGAGGAGAAGGAATACGCCACGCTCAAGGAGGAGCTGGCCACCATCCAGCGCTCGCACACCTCGCTCACCGAGGCCATCGCCACGCTCCAGACGGAGCTGCGCGACGTCAAGGGCGAGAACGCCACGTTGCGCGACCAGAACGAGACCTTCATCGACATCCTCCAGGAGAAGACCTTCAGCGGCGCGCTACTGAGCGAGAGCGCCATGATCAGCGCCGGGCTGGGTCGGCAGCGTCTGCGCGGCGCTTCGGGTCTCATGGGGCCCTACGAGAGCGACGAGGACGAGGACGACGAGGACGACGAGGATGCCGACGGAGGCGGTGCAGACACCACCGGCGACACCTCTGTCGACGACGAGGTCGATGAGCAGCAGGACGACTACGACGATGTCGATGATGTGCCCGACACGCCCCGAGCGCCCACTCGCAAGGCTGCCGCAGCGAGCGCACAGGACAGCGCCGGCAAGACCGCGGGCCGCAAGGTGCCACGCCGCAGGAAGCAGTCGACCAGCCTCCTGGCGCCTCATCCGACCGACCTGGCCAGCGAGCTCGGGCAGAGCGGCAGCCCGCAAGCTTCCGGGGCCGCGGGCGCCGTCCAGGCTCCGATGAGTCCCGAGGAAAAGAAGAAGCGGCAGGAGAGGCGCAACGAGAGGCACGGCGCCGTCTCGGACAATGTCGAAGGTGAGTTGGGCGCCCGTCGCTGCCCGGGCACGTTTGGCCAGACCACCGCACAAGGGCATCGACTGACCTGCTGCTGTGCTGCGACGACTGGCCCTGCAGAGCTGCAAAAGGAGGTGCGCGAGCTGCGCGAGGCCAACCAGGCCCTGACGCTCTACATCGCCAAGATCATCGACCGCATCATCGCGCGCGAGGGCTACGAAAACATCCTCGCCGTCGACGGCAAGGGCACCGTCCGCGGCGGCGGCGCGAGGCGCAAGCAGTCGAGGACCAACCTGCGGTCGAGCCCCTACGACACCTTCGACAACCCCAACCAGACCAAGCGGTCGGTGTCGAATGCCAGCGCCGCCAGCGCTGCCAGTGCTGCCACCACCAGCAGCAGCGGCAGTGGCGTAGGCGGCGGCCTCTTCCGCTTCGGCGGCGGCGGCGGCGGAGGAGGCGATGCGGCGGCGGCCAAGTCGGGCAAGCCAGTGCCGCCAAAGCCCAAGCGCGGCAGCTCGATCGACTGGCGCAGCCTGCCGTTCCTCGGTGGAGGCAGCAGCAACGCCGCCCCTGAGCCCAACCCCAACCTCCGGCCGCTCACCCTGGCTTCGACCAGCCCGTTGATCGGCGGGCCCTCGAACAGCGGCGGCGGCACCGCATCGACGCCTACGTCGGCGGCGCGCAAGCTGCGGACCAGCGAGGAGGTCGAGGACGAGGCCGATGTGGCCGAGCGCGAGCGGATCCGAAGCGAGCTGCTGAAGCGGGGCATCCAGCCGCCGTCCAACCAGCTGGTGCAGAGCCCCAACAGCCCGTCGACCGCAACCATGGGCGGTGGCGGCGGCGGCTCGAGCGGAGGCGGGTTCGCCGCCTTCTTCAGCCGGGTCGTGACCGGAGGCAGCGGTGGTGGTGCTGCTGCTGCCGGTAGCGCGGCTAACGCGGTCGACGCGAGCCAGGGCACGCCGGACCGCTCCGACGCGCTGAG